ATTAATTGTCACGTTTGACTTTTGAACTCTTACTTTTCAACTTTGATCTTAAATATTTTTGTTTTTTATAGATAATACTTGATTAAAAAATATATGAATGGATTCTATTTAAAATGTCTTTTCATTGTTTTAAGTTTTATCAAATAATATATAATATTTTATATAAAATATTTAAGGTCAAAGTTGAGGAAAAAAACTTCAAAAGTCAAAAATGGACAATATGTTCATTTATTTATCTGAAATATCTACGGGTTGTGGCGCAACTATCAGTGCTCATCTATAGGGTACTAGGTCCACTGCTGCTAATGTATACCTTTAGGGCACTAGGTCCATGCTACTAATGCTCCTCTATTTCAGCTTTTATCCTTCATCATTCATCTACCCATGTTTTACCTAACATATTTTGTAGATATAAAATACTTTATACAGTTTACATCATTTAAAACATGTATAAAAATCTTTCACCAGCATAGACAGCAAGTATTCAGACAATATGCACACATAGCACGTAATTTATAATAAAATACTTCATATCTATGTGTAAGATGAAATGGACCATGCATTCACTTAAGAAGGTGGTGACTCGGTACTCGGACAACGTTTCGTTTACTTTAAAATAATTTCTTTTGACGAAACCTAGTATTATTACCACTAGATTTTAGTTTAATATTTACCGTGACTAATTATTAGTCTTATTATTATTATTATTATTATTATTATTATTATTATTATTATTATATAAGCGTTTAAACAATACTTTCCAACCACTATGTACAGACAGGGGTCAGACATAAAACACCGGAGGGCAGGACCATTTTGGTGTATAGCAATTCTGAAATCCAACAACCCTATGCGGCCCTTTAAACCAGATTCCTCGTACCGCGAGTAGTTAAAAAAATATTATAACGACACTTATATAAGTCATAATAATAGCTCAAATATTTATTATAAGTTCATAATAATATTATTAATTTTAAATATAAGCTATATTAAAATAGGGTAAGGATAACTTACTTACAAGGGGACTTTAGCTAGGAGTCGGGCTCTGCAGGGGCAGAACTTCGTCGCTGAATTTAAAAAAAAAAAAAAAGATTCGTGCAGCGCTTCAGCGCTCACCTTACTATACTAAAAACTACAGAAGTTGAATCACGAGGGACCGAAATGCTCGGGGGATAAGGAGAAAAAGACTCTTGAATCAAGAGAATGATGCAAAAAATATGAAAGCCCAAGCCTCTTATTTATAGTAATTGAATTTACAAAAACTACCCTCCATAATTACTTAATGGCCTTTTAGTTATATAAACAACTAAACACCCCTTTATAATACTATTTTAAATAGATTTAAAGATATTTTTAGTAAACTAATGTCGAAAGAACTCAACATTAGTCTTATAATGACCGCATCGTCGATACCTTTCTAATGATATATACATATGTATTGATCAGGAGTTCGCGCTGGATGATTGGTTTTAACCCCGAAATATAAAAAGAAATTAGTAAATTTTCATTTATATCTGTTACCCGGTTCATAAGTTTCTCGAACTCTGCCTAGTAATTGGAGACTGTCGTGGTTTGAAGAAGCTTTGAGAGGGCTCCTTGGGGGTCCTCATACTTCGAAGGACCGAACCGGTTGCGGACGTTCACGAGAAAACTGTCCCAAGTGTTGATGAGTTTGTTTCGTGTCATCCAACGAAACCATTCCGCTGCCTCCCCTTTGAGATTAAAGCCTAAAATGTGTAGACGTTGATCCGCCTCAGTACCATGCAAGGCAAAGTATTTTGTGATGAAATATCCAGCTCTCCGGATCGCTTCCCCGGAATTTTGGCACGTCAAGACGCATGGACCGAGGTAGCCCATTCCCCTGTTCAATGGTCAATTTTGCACCAGATCCTATGACGATTGTGGCATTGTGGAGTTGTTGCGTAAGGAGTTCAATTTTTTTGGTAAAGGAGTTGGATTGTTCCTTGAGAAGCAAACGAATGCTAGCTTCATCCATCTCTCAATGAAAGCACCAATTGTTACGCTCAAGCCTAGGTGAGCAACACGCACTACTTTGAGTGAGTGTAAACTCCTTGAGAACTAACAGAAAGAAGATAGAATTTGACTCAAAAAGCTACCGTATTCCATTCCATGCCAATGTTTAAATAATAACAATGAAAAGATAAACTCAATCCAAACAGAAATCCAAATCCTAAGGAATACTTTAAAAAAACATGGAAACAATCTTATCCTACTTCGTGACTTTACCCATCTTATAATCTTTCTGCCAAACGGGTTTCATCACCACCCTAACGGACTTCCTTACTGGACCTGGACCTCCAGCTGACGGCCTAGGATCAACATCCACATTTGTTGACGGGCTTAACTCAGGCATAACATATTGTACTCTGACATGTTGCTATTTTATGATTTGGGTTTTCAGACATGGTATGTTGATTTACGAAATGATATATTTCTACGTAGTTTTCTTATGAGTGTTTTTATACTCAGTTAATTAAAATGAAATTTTTGGACTCAAAATTTGGGATGTTACAAAGAGAGTAATAATAACATAAAATTTTATTATATAAATAAATAAAATCAAACTTCGTTGGAGATGAGGAATTACGGGTTCCTCCACTCGTATATGAGCCAAAAACATCAACCTGTTGCTAGTTGGGGTAATGTTCGCGGTGATACCGTTGGTACCGCCATCCTAGAACCACCAACTCGTTGTCATTTCGTCTGCCCTAATGATATTTACCCGATTTTGTATATATTAAATTTGAAGAGATGGTTAGAGTTGGGACTAGTCAACTTAGCTAACAAGGAGTTTCTAACAATGAGGTTATGGGTTCTATCCATGACCGTTCCAAACATATTTTAGGTCCTAGACGAGAGGGAATAAAAAACCCTTAAAATACACAAATTTCATTAACCTTTTTATAATAACTCAACAGTTGAAGGAAATTACTTGTACTAGCATCTAAATATAACATTTTCGATTACAAAAAATTTATACATACATGCTCCCTAAATAATATATATATATATATATATATATATATATATATATATATATATATATATATATATTATATATATATATATATATATATATATATATATATAATAAAATCGACAAAATTGCAAAAATGGTCCTCGTGCTTGTCAAAAATATGTGGTTTTGGTCAAAAAAAGTTTGGTGGTGCATTAATGGTCCGATTTTGGATCTTTTTAGTGATTTTGGTTCCTAAACACTTAAATTACTTTTATACCCTTCTTATTATCTTTTCTCATTTTTTTAACTTAAGCCAAAAAAAAAAAACTTAACCCCCCAACCCCCTCATGAAAATCGTTTGGGGAGAAGCCCCTTCATCCGCGACTCCACCCTCAATCAGCGACACACCCTTTTCCGTTTGAAACTTCAACCAACAACCACCATAAATCTGATCTATTACACTGTCTTATCCATCTCCTTCTCCGACTCCTACACTCAACATTTATCTTTGGATTTATGGTTTATCTCTGTCTTTGGATAACTACAAACCCAAATGGCGTCGGACACCTGCAAACCCAAATCTCATATTTCTCTTCTTATTGATAAATTCATATCCAACACAGTCGCAAGGGCCCCCTCAATCCTACTGCAACCCTCCCCATCCCTTGATTCTCTATATCTTCCTACATGGAACTGTTGGAAAAGTCAACAACTCTGGTGACCTCCATTGATCAACATCAATCGCACCATAAATCCCTAATCTACCCTAATCCGCTGTCAGCAAATTCCCTTAGTCCGTAGTTGCCGACGATAAAACCTAACCTACTCGAAATGCATTCTCCATTTGTTTTTCTTTCTGTTGAACAATAAAATCATACGCTGGAAGACCAATTAATGATGACGGTCGCGGTGGAAACCCTAGATTAATGGTCAGATCTTTTCATCTCTGCGAAAGTAGTGGTCAACCGAGTGGTGGTGGTGGTGATAGTATCCAAAATGAGAAAGACGGTGGGTAGGGTGGGACTTAGGATTTCACTTTCAAGGTTTTAAATTTCAATTTTAGTTGAAGTTGTGATGACGATGGTGGGCAATGGTGTTTGATGGAAAAGATGGTAGCGTTGGTGTTTGATGGCAGAGGCGGTGGCGTTGGGTTTAACAGCAGGAGTTAGTGGTGTTTGACAACTGAGTTGTTGGTGTCGATTAGGGAGAGATGGGTAGGGGGGGGGGGGGGGGGGACAGGTGGTGGTGTCCGGCAAGTGGAGGTGGTCCGACAAGTAAAGGTGTCGGCCAACAATGAAGAAAGAGATGTTGATTGGAGATGGGGAAGAAAGTTAAGGGTGAGTGGATTAGTAGGAGGTAGGGTAGGCTAGGTGTTATATTTCATTTTTTTTTTTTTAAATTAAAATAGTAAGAAAATAATTAAAACAAATTAAAAAGGAAGTAATGAAGGGCATATTTGTCATTTCATGTGGGGTATGGACCAAAACCACACAAAAATAACACCTATAGGAACCAAAACCATACAAGGTATCCGAAATTAGACCAATGATGCATCACCAAAGTTTTTTTTGACTCAAAACCACATAATTTTGACAACCACAATTTCTATTTTTGCAATTTTGTCAATAAAATCTATTTAAAATTTGAACCCCTTTAAAAGATGGGTCATGAACAATCACTCTATCTACCACCCTTTAGGATGGGTCTGGTTCAACCCATGCATATACTAACCCGTCATTCGAAAAGAAAAATTGAAGAGATGGTTAACAAAAATCTAAAATCTAAAATATATTATAATTGAAATTCAAATTGAGATATCTGATAGTATTAAATTCAGATTATCCACTTTATATAATAGTAACTCCTACCTATAAAAACAAACGCAAAAAGAAAGAATGTTTAACGACTTAATAGGAACGTGTGTCTCCGTGTAAAAAGAACATGGAAGGACATATGATCATATCTTACTAGTCAGCAACTAGAACTATGTAAAGGAACGAGAAGCAAAGACGATATTGGAATGGAGTTCTCCCAGCAACGATTGAAAATGGCGAAAAGACGGACGATGTGTAATAAAAGGAATAATTTTGGAACATATCAATTAATCACCATCGTCAGGTTCGAATAAAGCGTCTGCTAAACATCATGCCCATCTTTGCTAAATTGGTAAAGTTAATGCGCGTTGAGTTGTTCATCAATTACAACTGATGATGGTAACAGTTCTTGATTCCTGATTCCTTAAATTTAATTATAATATACATCAAACGAATCATAAACCTAAGCCGTCCCCTTTCCCTATTTATTGACATTCTGTAATCACATATACAATCACCTGCTTTTCATCCATAGTCACTGAGCTTCAATTCTTCTTATAATTTATCGACCTCGCCCTTTGCTGCCTTGAATTTTGTAAAATTGAAAATTTTGCTGATTCGTAAGAAAACGCGCAGACTGCATAATGGATTGGTTTGGCAGCACCCATGAAGTTTCAAGCAGGCGATATAATGGGAGATATGGAGGGAGAACAGCATCAATGGGAACAATATTTCCTTCCACATCATCGGTAATGATCACTATCATTTTAACTATTATGCCATAATGATACATACTACACCTTGAAGTTTCATGATTGCTTTACCTTTGTAGATCCCACTGAGAGAGATCGAAAGCATTGACAGGGCAATTGCAAAATCATTTGCAGACGATAGAAGAGGAAATCACGTGATCAGTAAGTGATACTATATATTTCTTAGTTTGTTTCCTTCAACTCCTTTTTTCTCCTTTAACTCTTTTTATACATGAAATAGATGAAGTTTTCCAATTGAAAGGAGACGAGGATCTTGCAAGGGCTCTACAGGAAAGTTTGAAACTGGGTGAGCCTTCACCCTGGAACAGAAATGTTTCTGGTTCTTGTTACAATGAAAATAATCATCCACTATGCGATGTTTGCAAGAACTTTGTAAGTATCTGTTTCAATTTCAGGAAAGCGTTACATACTCTTAATTATCTTTCACCTGAAACTCATCAATCTTTTTTACAGATTCAAAAAAATATTTCTGGTGTTGTTGTATACAAGGCACATCCTTTCTGGGGTCAGAAATACTGCGTGTTTCATGAGCATGATGGGACTACAAGGTGTTGTAGCTGTGAGCGAATGGAAGTAAGTTTTCATTAATTACACTTACCTTCAAAATTGTATTATTATTTTTTAAAATTTTTAGAAATAAAAAACGGATATAAAATTTTCAGTCAAAGGAAACACGATATGTTGCTCTTGGTGATGGACGAAAGCTATGCTTGGAGTGTATTGATTCTGCAGTGATGGATACCACCGAATGTCAGCCACTTTATAATGATGTACAGAAATTTTATGAAAGTATGGGGATGAAGGTGGAACAGAAGATTCCTTTACTTTTAGTTGAGAGACAAGCACTTAATGAGGCCATGAATGGAGAAACGAATGTAAGGAAAAAGTATTTTAAAGGGAAAGTCGATCTGTGTTTCTTCTTGTTTCTTATTTCTTATTTTCCATTTTCTTTTTCATTAGGGTCATTACCACATGCCGGAGACCAGAGGACTATGCCTTTCAGAGGAACAAACGATTAGCACAGTAAGTATTTATAAAGTTTCACAGATTTTAGGAGTGAATGATACTACTTTGTTAAATGTTATTGATGTTTTTAATCGGTAGGTTTCGAGGCAACCGAGAACTGGGATTGGAATGAATTGGGCCCCAAACATGAGAAGAGAGCCATATAAGCTGATACGTATCTGTGAGGTTACAGCCATTCTCATTCTTCATGGACTTCCAAGGTACTATTGCTTTGGGTGACACGTGGCTTTTTCTTATCTTATCTATATCTATATATAATTAAATAATTAAATAATATGTATACTTAATTAGGTTGCTTACTGGGACGATCTTGGCACATGAAATGATGCATGCGTGGCTGAGGCTGAATGGATACGTGGGTCTCCGGCAAGATGTTGAAGAAGGAATATGTCAGGTGGTAGCTCACATTTGGTTGACATCTCAGATGGCATCCATATCTGGTCAAGGGAAAAGGTTTGCGTTAGAGAAGAAGCTTGCGGAGTTCTTTAAACACCAGATTGAATCTGATCAGTCTCCGGTGTATGGGCATGGTTTTAGAGCAGGACATCGGGCTGTCCTTAAATATGGCCTTCAAAAGACATTGGACACCATTCGAGTAACAGGAAACTTTCCTTTCTGATTAAATGAATTGTCTATGTTGAATCCTTTTTTTGTATTATATATCTGGCTATAGCCGGTTTAGTAATATTTTTCGTTTCTTATATGTACCCTTAGAGCACATATTAGAAAATCAATATATATATATATATATATATATATATATATATATATATATATATATATATATATGTATGGTTATATCGAAGTGACATCATGTTGGTGTTAGATTGTTAGTATATATGCCATGTTGGCAATCTATCGATTCTCGTTAGCATATGTTATTTTCAAATCAGTTCTTGATATTGCAATGAAAGAGATGTATACAAAGAAAAATGAAACTAGTAGGACTTGATTTCATTTATATTAGTAAGTAAAATCTCCCTTATTTATGTATATGGTCCCTAAGCTTTGTTCTTTTGTCACATATTTTACCAAAATCTATGTTCTTCCCTTTCTCCCTATATTTTTTCTAGCTAATTAACAATATTGTACTCCGAGGAAATAAATATTGCAACTTGTAATTGCTTTTAATTATACATTACAGCCTTCTTCATCATCATCACAAACATTGATCTCGTTAAAGGGATCAGATTTTGTTAATATTATTCTTTCTGAACAACGATCTACAGTCCTCTGTAAATCAACATGAATTCTAACTAAAGAAGACACTACCTCATCCATGCTTGGTCTGCTCTCCGGATCTTGTTTCACACACGTCAGACTTAATTTCATCATTTGAACTGCATACTCCATGCTTCCATCTTCTTCATCTGCTAAATCAATCATGCACCTAAGCTCCTTTTCTGCATTTCCTCCATCGTCCATGATTGTAGCCATTGTTGTTGAAAGCAATACTTCTTGACCTCCCTCTATAAACACAGCATCTTTTCCCGATATCAGTTCCAACATCACAACTCCAAATGAATACACATCAACTTTCGAATTGACTGAACCATTTCCCACATACTCAGGAGCCATATACCCTCTGCTACCCACGATCCTTGTTGTGAGGACACGAACATGATCTGTTGTTCTTGCATGACTGAAATTTGAAATCTTTGCTCTCATTTTGCTATCGAGAAGAATGTTGCTGCTGTTGATGTTGTTGTGGACATACATAGGCTTAGCGAAGTTATGAAGATAGTGAAGTCCATGAGCAACATCCATAGCAATCTGAACCCGTTTACAAAAACCATGAGTTTCTTTCGATCTTTTCCCTGATCTAAGCCAATCTCTGAGAGAACCCATCTTCATGTACTCGAAAACAAGGTATAACGAATCTTGATTCATGCAAAAACCATATAGTTTCGTCAGATTGATGTGGTTAATTTTGCTCAACATGTTCACTTGCATCGATACATCAATACCCGTCTTTTTAACTGCTACAATCTGGTTCCCAAACTCACCACGATACACAGAACCCTTAATCCTACGCTTGTGATCAAAGTTTTTCGTAGCTTTCTGTAGTTCCCGAAAGCTAAAAGCTTTGATGATTCTCTCAAAGCTTGCAATTTCGACAAGGAGATCCTTACGCGAATGTGACATTTCTTCACTATCTTGTACCTTTTTCCCTTTTCTCATGTAAATAACTAGAACGCCCAGAAAAACCAGAAGGGAACACACAACTGGAACTCCAACTTTTAAGGGTTTCTTTGATTTCGATCTCTTTGCAGAAGGCACTGTCGACGTTTCTGGTCGGATTACCCTTCTGGAAATTGAAGGTTCTTCTGTTAAAGGAATCAAAATCGTAGTGAAAGGAAACAAAGTAGGATCAGTTTCAGAAAACCCGTTTGCTTTTAGCACACTCTCGACACTTACGTTAAACCTCCGAGCAATATCAGGAACATTATCCTTGAAAACGATGGAGTAAGTGAGTAAATACTTGGTGCCACTCAAGACTTGATCTTTTGTAGGACAAGCACAACGTAGCGGGACTTTGAGCTCAAACCCATCTTCCAAATCGAACTCGCTGTATCTATTCGCATGCATTAAAGAACTACATGTCGACAGACCCTGAAACGTCAGATTTGCTACAATAAAATACGTTTTTCCCAGTGGTGAAAGGAGGAAAGTGGTGATGGCTTGGTAATTATACCGATCGGAGCAGGAACAGTTCACCGGAATAACGACGTCTTTGTCGATGGGGAAAACGGCGGTTTCTGTTACGTGGTTGATGCGGGCAAGCTCTTGAGGGTTGGATGACATCAGGGCTGCGATTGTGGTGACAGAATCGAAAGGTGGTTTGGATTTGAAAATGAGAAACGATTGGCAAGAGAGATGGTGGTGGTGGTGGTGGCCAGTGCAGGTGTAAAGGAATTCATCTTTGGTTTTGCAGTTTAAAACTTGATTTGCTGTGTACTGCTGTTGGGATCTTATGGATGAAATTTGGAAACAGATGAGAATAATGATATTGAAGAGAACCCACTTCATGTTTTTCGTTTTCTTTATGATAAAACGGAAGAATTTTGATCAACTTATATCAAATAGTATATGTATGTATAACTTGAAGTTGAAATTTTGTATAGAAAGTGAAATGTATTTGTGATTAAAAAAAAAAATGGTCCCGTGGGCTGGACCTTGACTTGATCTGGTTAATTATTAATAATCCCATAATAATTTATGTATTTCATTGAGAGCATTTACAAAATATAAGATTTGAATAGGATCATGCCTATGGAGATTACTAGGATTGAATAAAGTGTGGGTGATGATTAAGGTGTTTAATGGGTTGTGGGAATTGTTATATAGATGTTTAGACCATCTTCAATGCATTGAACTTTTGTATAGATGTTTAGATCATCTCCAATGCATTGAACTCATATGAGTTCAATGGATTGACATATATACATTCCACTTACTATAAAATTTTATCCATTAAAATCTACACTCCATTAAACTCTATACAATTTAATGGATTGTCACATCATTTATCATTTTCTTTTTACTTATTGTTATTTTTTTAAAAATTAATTAACATGAAATTAAAATTAAAAACTACAATTAAAATTAACATTAATTAAAAATTTAAAATAAAAAATAATATATATATATATATGTGTGTGTGTGTGTGTGAGGAATGATAATATAGAGTTCAATAGGGATTAAATACCCTATTCCATTGAATCCTAATCATTTTCCTACAATGAAGATTTTGAGTTTAATGAGATTAACTTCCCCATTAAACCCCCTATTGAACTCCCATTGGAGATGACCTTAATAGATGAGAGCATTCACAAAATATAAGATTTGAATAGGATGAGGATTATGGGGTGATGATTAGGATTGAATAAAAGTTGAATGAAATATGGCTGATGATTGATTGAATAAGTGTGCAATGGGTTGTAGGTATTGTTGTATAGATGTTTAATAGATGATATGACAATCCATTGAAGTCTATAAAATTCAATGGATTATGGATTCCCTGAAGCACAACAACAACAACAACAACAACAACAATAATAATAATAATAATAATAATAAAACAAATAATTATAATTTTTATAGTGTTTAACTTATTACAATTGATTAAAATTATAATTTGAATAATATGATATTTTAAAAGTATATAAAATATATAGATGATATTTAATGAAGTGAATAATTATAAATTAAATTAAAAAAATATGATTTTTGATATAAAAAGTAGCATATAATTTTTTTTTATTTTCTTCCTACTTATTTTTTATCCATATGAAATGATAACAAGTGTTTTAAAATATTATTAATTTTATAAAAAAGGAAATCTCCGAAAAAGTCCTAATATTTCACACTGATTTATGAAAAAGTCTCAAACTAAAATTTATTTACGAAAAATCCTAATTACCGGTAAAAATAACAATTTGACCATTTATCCGGTTTATTGGTTTTAATACTTAACCGATTTCATTAAAGTCTCATTATTTTACCATAATTTTATTAAAGTCTTATTATTTTACCATGATTTGAGATTTATTCGTAAATTATGGTAAAATAATGCGACTTTAATAAAATTGGGTAAGTAATAAAACCACTAAACTGGGAAAAATGGGTAAAATCGTCACTTTTACCGATAATTATGATTTTTTTTTGTAAACAAATTTTAATTTGACACTTTTTCGTAAATTAGGGTAAAATATTAAGATTTTTTTCGGAGATTTCCCTTTATGAAAATGTAATATTTTTCACTATTTCACATGCATAGAAAGATAAATAGAAAGAAAATATAAGAATATATTTAATTTTTCGAAAAATAATACATTCATTTACAATATAAATGTACTCTTTCTTTCTGACACCCAATGCAAAAGAATCATCACAAAACCTAGCGTTGCTAAAAATGAAAAACTATCTTTTACCAAAGAAGAACATGATACAATTTGAGGGGTTATAAAACCATAAACGTATACTTTGATAATTGGTTTATTAAATATTTGTAAACAACAATAAAAGATCAGTACCTATTTTAAACAAGAAACCAAAGGTATGATTTTATTATTATTTAAAAAAAAAACAGCCTTACACCCGACAACTATAGATGGGTAGCATATGCCAAAAATAGTATATGTACACAAAGACCCAACAATAAACTCATATTATAACTTATTGAATAAAAACTCAAACGTCATTTAAGAAAAACTAATGAATAGGTTTTGGAATTTTGTTTTTTGTAGTTTTATAATTTCCCAAGAATCTTGCCTAATATATGGATTTATCGATCTTGAAATGGTCAAAGATTTTAAAATCCAATAAAAAAATTAAAACCATAGTAAGTTTAGTGGTTACTTAAATATGTTATTGATAATTGATAAGATACAATGGGTAGGTTGAAATGTTGAATTGATCAAACCCATCATATTACATTCTTTCTCATATTTATCGTATGGGCTTATATGTGGGGAAATCCTTATTATTATAATCTAATCTAATATGAGATAATTGTTACAACTAATATTTATGTAATAAATTTAAGAATATATTAAATTTTAAAAATAAACTTTTCAATATGTTTTTAAGTTGTCAACAAATTTATCTTATTTTTTAAAAAGGTAACAAACTCAATTTTTCTATATAATTTAATGATATTCCAGGTTTAACATGCCACATCTTTTTCTAATTTTATATTTTTAATCAACATTTTATTTTGTTACGAGGTTGGTGTGAAGATTAAATTTTATTACAAAATAATCTCAGATATAATTTAATTTGAATTTTTTTTTCTACTAACTTTTA